CCTCAAAGAGCCGGGTCACCCCGCCCCCCGAGCCAGGGACACCCCCCCAGAGCCGGGTCACCCCCTCACAGAGCTGGGTCACCCCCTCAAAGAGCTGGGTCACCCCCTCATAGAGACAGGTGACCACCCCCCAGAGCCAGGTGACCCCCTCACAGAGCTGGATCACCCCCCCCCAGAGCCAGGGCACCCCCTCACAGAGCCAGGGACACCCTCACAGAGCCAGGTGACCCCCTCACAGAGCCAGGTCACCCCCCCACAGAGCCAGGGGACACCGTTTGGCCGAGGGAACCTTCATCCCCAGTGCTGGCGCAGGGAAAGCATCCCACTCCCCCCCGCCCGCAGGGGTTGCAAGGGGTCATGGGGAGAAAACCAAGGCAAACCCCGCAACATCCCCTGTTCAGCCCCGCAAGGGTCCCGGGGCATTTTACACCTGAGGTGACTTTGTCCCGTGCACCATTTAATCAGGAGCTGCACTGAGGTTTTTGCTGTCTGGTTTCGGTGGCAGCCACCCCTGGGGCGGGGAGCCACTCTCCTCTTCCCAAATTCGTGCCTGTTCCAGCACGGCCTCAGCTAATTGAGAAATCTTCGTCCACAGCTTTCCCTGAAGACATCGATGCCGTACAGGGCGCGTTGGGCACTAGCAGTGGTGATTCACAAGACTTCTTTAGTGTCAGGGTGTTACCATGTCCCAGAGCTAGAACGAGCAGCGTTTGGTAAAAGCAGAACTTTGGACAAAACCTGGTGATTCAAGCTGCCGCTGCCCCTCTAGCAGGTGGGCAACCTGCAGAGCCACTTGGCATGGAAAGAACCGTCACAGCCACCCGTGGAGGTTGTCCCCCATCCCCAAACCGGTGTGACAGTGAAACAAAAACTGCCCCAGCTCTCCCAGTGCATCCCCTGGGCTCGGTGGGCTGCTCGTCCCTGGGATCTCTGCAGAGATCTCTGCCTTCGCTCCCCCCCCGGGATGCTGGGCATGTCTCGGGGGGCCCTGCCAGCCCTGCCTAATTGCACACCCTGCCATCAGCCTCGGCTTGTCTGCGAGCTGTCAAACTCCTCGGGCAGCAGGGACCCTTCCACAGGCCACTGCCTCTTCCAGCCTCCCGGCGATGACGCTGGGAAGACGAGGGTGTTCAGCCTGGAGTGCCTCCGTCCGTCGGGACGCGTGACTTTTGTCCCGCAGCGTTCGTTTCCCTGGCCTGTCTTGCGTCTGCAGTCCCAAAGTTATTCCTAAGGGCTAACTTAATTTTTTCTCTTTGGCAGTTTTAGCCCATCGATACTTGTTCTGTCCTTGTTGACTGATGAGAATAATTAGTCTCTGGTCCTTTTATAGCACATCTGCTCTTTTTAAGATGGTATCGCTCATAGCACTCTTTTAATCTATAGAGAAGGAAACAGTTGCATTTAATTAATTGCTCTCTATATAAACTAATTACTGCCAGTAATTTCAGCACACTTTGCACGCAGTTCAAACGCCTGTGCAGAGATCTGAAAGGCAAGCCACCCAGTCTAATGACAAGAAATGAAAGCAAGGGGCAAAATACAGTTTATCTTTAGAGAGTCTACTTAAGCGTATTATTGTTTAATTATTATAGACGGTATCAGTTAGTACTAAACTGCCTATGTCATGGTTCCTGTCAGTTTTGCTTCAAGGTTGCTTGGACTATGTGCAAAAGATATTGAAAAGCTCTGCCAGGAAAAAAACCAATTTTAGTTTTTTATTACTTTTATGGGTCAAATGTCATTGTCTAGCAATTTATCATTGTATCTTTGTTCAGAAATATGAGCAATGGAGGTTCTTTGCTTGGGCCAATCATTTCAGTTTCTATGCCTGGACTCCTGTACTGCAATAAACAGCCTCCTTGCTCCACAGTGAATATGTCAAAGCAAATCTGCACTGATCTGAGCCCAGGATAGAAGCAAGGAAAAACGATGTTCTAACAAGGACTTAGCAAACACTTGAGCTGCCTGGAGTAAGTTTAGAGGTTGTTTTCTGGACTAACACAAGGTCTACTTACTTTAAGAGCAATTCTGTGAAGATCAGTTATCTATGAAGGAGACAAAGGTTTTTATAATATATTTCTATATTGCAATGGTGTGCAAGACCTCCATTGTGAGCACGGTCTCGTCGTGCTAGGAGCTGTACAAACACACAGCGCAAAGAGCCCGATCCTCTAGACTTTGCAACATAAATTTTTACAGAAAGAAAGTGCTAATTAGTATCTGCAGTTTGGAGCCAGTTGGTAGGCTGGAGAGCTGGCAGCTGGCCAGCCACAACTTTTCTCTACCCCTCTTGCCATTTGGGAAGTGTCCTGTGCCTGCCAAGTCTGGGGGATAAACAGACCGGCAGCAGCCAGGAGCCAAATCATTTGTAGGTTTTAAGTTCAGCATTCAGGTTATAATCACCTGCTTTCCTCCACCACTGCCAATGGGTTAGTCTCAGCATAAATCCTTCGGCGAGTTCACATATTCACACTCCTGCACCCCAAAATTCTTGGTTTCCTCTCACTTGACTCAGGACTTGGGATCAAACTGCCCAGGAATATCGTATGATCTCCCCATCTCTCAGCATCCAAGGCCACTCTCTAGGCTTTTTTCCCCCACCTCCAGCTTGCTCCATCCCCAGGGAGCAACTCGTAATGTACCGCCACTAAGCCCCACATGGCCGCTCGCTCGCTCCCCCCCTGCGGTGGGATGGGGGAGAGAATCAGAAGAGTGAAAGTGAGAAAACTCGTGGGTTGAGATAAAGACAGTTTAATAGGTAAAGCAAAAGCTGTGCGCACAAGCAAAGCAAAAAAAGGAATCCGTTCACCGCTTCCCATCGGCAGGCAGGTGTTCAGCCATCCCCAGGAAAGCAGGGCTGCATCACATGTAACAGTGACTTGGGAAGACAAACGCCATCACTCAGAATGTACCCCCTTCCTTCTTCTTCCCCCAGCTTTATATGCTGAGCATGATGTCATATGATATGGAATATCCCTTGGGTCAGTTGGGGTCGGCTGTCCCAGCTGTGTCCTCTGCCACCTTCTTGTGCCCCCCCAGCCTGCTCGCTGGTGGGTGGGGTGAGAAGCAGAAAAGGCCTTGACTCTGTGTGAGCACTGCTCAGCAATAACGAAAACATCCCTGTATTGCCAACACTGTTTTCAGCACAAATCCAAAACATAGCCTGTACTAGCTACTATGAAGAAAATTAACTCTACCCCAGCCAAAACCAGCACAAGGGCCTACGTGACCACAAACCACAACCAAATGTGGGTATTGCTGGGAGCGATGGGCTGCTGAAACACTGCCCAGCTTTCCGTTCGTCATCCCTGTGCTCCGCCAACCTGGGCGATAGTGGTGCTTTTTCTAGATTCAAGCCTCTTTCAGCAACCGCAATTTGGTGGACGCGACACAAATCAAGTGCGTGGCCTCTCAGAGGTGCAAAAAAACCCCAAACACCTGAAACAGGGTAGCAGAGGGCACTTAATATCGGTGAAGGATCACACTGCTTCAGCCAGTGCTTTGCTCCAACACAGCGTTAAGGCTCTAATAAACCAGCCCCACATGTTTTGCAGGCACACACCATGCACCTTCTGCCTGTCGCAGACCCTGGGAGTGGGTTTAGATGCAGCGGCCAGGTACAGTGACAACACGACCGTGTCATCACCTGCCAAATACTGTCTTTTTCTATTCCTAAGGGCAAGGCCTTTTCCTTTGCTGCTCTCTGGCATTTGTTTTTGCTTTAAGCTCCCCAGCAGTAAATAGGACCCCATGTGTGCAGCTTTGCAGGAGGAAGCTTACCTTCTCATAGTAACAGCTACTCTCTGGTCCTCATGGACATGGCAGGCACTTCGCTCTGCCTCTTCCCAACAGTTATGGAGGTGCCTTCTCTCAGACAGTCTCCAAGCTGATCCCAAATATTCATGATGGCAGCCTGAAAGGTCTCCACTGCATCATCCTCCTCTCACTGGGACACGAGTACATCCTCACAGCACCTCGGTCACCTTTGCTGGATTTAAATGCAAACCTTGTGTTTAGGTGAAAACAGCAGCCCGATCCCCAGGTTTGTCCTCTTCCATAGCAGCCCTTCTCCTCCCTGCTTTGATCACCCATGATGTAGGAACCACCTGGCTTATAAACACAGCCCTAACAACTGCCCATAATGGGGATCTTGCTTGGTGTCCCTCTTGCACCTACTGCTCCCTCCGCGGCTTACAGCTCTGATTCAGGCAGATATGGAGCTGAAGATGCCCTGGGACCTGCCACATGTTGCTCTAGGAGGTTTCTGTCCTTGAAGGTGACAAGCTCAGAATGCCAAGGGATGCATCTGCTTAAAAGAGTTAACAAAGCAACAACAGAGAAAAACTGCTTCTTAAATAAGTAGTTTTAACCTGAACAGATTAATTACCCAGTGCCACAAGCCAGCATGCTCCACACTCGCTGTGTTAAACATCCCCAGCCCGTGACCGACACCGTACGACAAGGCTCGTGGCAAGGTCACATCAACCTCAGCCAGAGCAACGTGGGTCAGAGGTGCTCTGAGAGAACGTGTGCTTGAAAGCTGCTCCGTGGTAGGGCTTGCCTGGCACATCATGTCGCATCGCACCCGTCAGCTCGTGCCTCTGCACCCGACGTGACGTGCCAGACTTGCTGGAATGTGATCCTGTGCAGCCGCGAAAGTGCCGACAAAAGAAAGGGCTTAGAGAGGCGGGGGGGAGTTTAGGGATGCTCACCGTGGATTTCCTCATGCCCCTTTACACAGGGCAGTCCTCACCCCAGAGGCATGAATATCGGGGGGCTGCTGGCCTGAAGGGGCACAGAAGGACCTGGGGGAATAATCCTTCCATGGGTACCTGGGCCATGGTGGGAATAGTGCAGAGCCTTCTGTCACAGCCTTGGAAAGCCAAAGACACCGTATCTCCTGGAAACACCTTCTCCTTCAAGTTTATTGACCCCTTTAAAGTTGTCAAGAGGTTTGTAGGACAAGTACTCCCTGTACAGAAGCCATGTTCAGTTTTCTGAAGGAAAACATCATTATCCACTATTTCTACCCTTTATTAGACCTTCTGCTAACTTGTCTGTAACAAGTATGCAGGGCCTCCAGCCTTCGTCATTCAATGCACCAACACTTTTGCTAAGTTGATGTCCCGGTTTCGGCTGGGATAGAGTTAGTTTTCTTTCTAGTAGCTGGAAGAGTGTTATGTTTTGGATTTAGTATGAGAAGAATGTTGATAACACACTGATGTTTTCAGTTGTTCCTAAGTAATGTTTATACTAAGTCAAGGATTTTTCAGCTTCTCATGCCCAGCCAGCAAGAAGGCTGGAGGGGCACAAGAAGTTGGGAGGGGACACAGCCAGGACAGCTGACCCAAACTGGCCAAAGGGGTATTCCATACCATCTGACATCATGCCCAGTATATAAACTGGGGGGAGTTGGCCAGGGATGGGAGGGGGAGCAGATTGCTGCTCGGGAACTAACTGGGCATCAGTTGGTGAGTGGCGAGCAATTGCATTGTGCACCACTTGTTTTGTATATTCCAATTCTTTTGTTATATTATTATTATTATTATTATCATCATCATCATCATTATCATTATCATTACCATTACCATTATTTTCTTCCTTTCTGTCCTATTAAACTGTCTTTATCTCAACCTGCAAGTTTTACTTTTTTCCCGATTCTCTCCCCCACCCCACTGGGTGCGGGGGGAGTGAGCAAGCAGCTTAGTTGCTGGCTGGGGTTAAACCACAACAGCTGATAAAGCTGCATCTTCAAACTCCTCAGGCTCTTTTGGCCCCATGTCCTCTCCTGGATTGTCTCCTTCTGATGCTGATCCTCACTTGCTGTGTAATCTTCAGGAAGCAGCTTAGTGCCAGAAAGCAATGGCTAGAGGAAAAGCAACAAGAAAGGCTGGCATCAAAGAGCAGAGCCCCACGCAGAAGGGCTCAGCACCAACCCACCACCCTGAAAACTCACACGGCAGACAGCCCTTCCCCTGGATCACATATCCACAGCAGATTCCAGCTCCTTTTGCTGTTTTTCCTACCAAATTGAAGAAGAAATCTTCCTCACCACTCTGGAGATGTGAGAGGTCACTTCATGAAAATTAAGATGGGTCCTGCATAAATCAGGGATGGTGGGTAATGCGGGAGGGCAATGCAGGGTGCCCTACATCTGAAGAGCAACAACTGGATTTGGTGTGTTTTTAAATGATAAAGCAGATCTTTCCTTACTGAGTTTGGTATTCTCCACCACATGTTCGATAATGAAGCACGGAAAGATGTCTGCTTGGACTCACAGGGGAGAGATAGGAGAGAAAACAAGTGGACGGATGGTCGTCCCATGGTGAAGGGCATCTGGAAGGCCAGGAGGGAGCTGAAACAGCCGTGGGCTGGGAACATCACCCACAGGTGAGCATGGAAGATGGGAAGAGAAAGCCACTGATGGACACTGGGAGCTCGGGGGGTAGCACCTGCTGGGAAGAGAAGAGCCATCATCGTGATAGGACTGGAGCAAGCTTGTCATGCCTCTCTTGCAGAACGAGGCTAAAGCAGAGTTTATCCTGCTTGGAGCATCTTTTGCAGGGACACATGAATCTGTGTTACAATGCGTGGAGATGGTTATTGCAAAGCCACTTTATTTATGGTGTTTTTATTGGCAGGGGAGTGGGAGTGCAATACAATTTTAGCCACTCTGATGTCTCCATCTCCCTTACATCCCACCTCCATTTCTAGAGCAGTTTTTTTCTTTAAATTATATGATTCCTCAAACTGTACAAGGGACTTTCTGTACCTGAGATGGTACAGGATTAGCTGGATAGTCTTGCTGAGCAGGGTCAGGTGTGGGCAGTTCTGGGAGAGTTGATGACTGTACGTCTCCACCACCACCACCAGTCCTGGTCCCCACCAGCTGCAGGCAGCAGGATCTCTTTGCATATGGCAGAAATAGGGTAGGGCCAAGATCTGCGTGAAGCTCAGCTAAGATGAACTTGAGCATGAAAAATGATGCACTTCACACATGATCTGCAGGGACCCCAGCTCTCGGGCACGAGCAGGGTCAGTAAGCAGCCTAGCCAGTAGCACTTTTTTGATCATTTTAGAAAGATCCTGTTGAAGACCGGAGGGAGTCTCCAGAGCTACCGAGTCCGAGACCACTGCTTGGTTATGCTCCACTTCTCAAAGCTAACACAAATTTCTCCCACCTCCCACTGGCACTATCCACTGGATCACGCAACCTGTTATAAACAAACCCAAAGAACACTTTTGTCTCTTCCTGTCCTTTTCAGATATTTTGGGTATTTGTAGCAATCTCTCCTGTTTATATAACAAAGCCACAGCCCAGTGTTTGTGGCACCATATCCATGGTAACCCTAATATAGCATGCACAGGCGACTAGATTTCATTAGGTGGCTCAGCTGCGGCAGCACCAGGGAGGGAATTTCTCCGGGCTGCTGAGCTGCGCAAGCAGCCTGGTGGGAAGGGGTCTGGCTGCCCACCCGACCTCAAGCGCCTGGCGAGGCAGCACCTCCCAAAGAGCAAATGATACTCTCCTTTCGCTAACTTTAGCCTTTCTCCTGCTCTCCCATCACCAGCTCACCATGGTACAGTGCTAGGCACAGCCCGTCCACCTGCCTTTAACTCTGCAGAAGAGCCGTGGGTGCATGGCTGGACCAGAAGGAGAAGCAGAAGAGACGGGAGCTGCTCAGCCTCCTCCATGCACGGCAGTTCTCGCCTCCGCTGCTGGAGCAGGAGCAGCAGGACCGAGCCGTAAAGAGCAGCTGAGGTCCAATTCTGTCTCCGATTTGGGGACACTCCTCTGGTGGCAGTGGGGACATCTCACTGCACAGTTGGGGCTGCGTCCCTTTCGGATGCAGTCCTCAGCGGGGATGAGGCGGGGGCATTACTTGGTGTAAGAGAGAGAAAATTTGGCCCTGAGGAAGGCAAAAAAGAGAAACAGGTGAGGAGAAAGCAAGAAGTTGGAACGAGCAGAGGCTTAGCAAGGGGGATGTTACAGCATTTGTTGCTCTCGTGCTGGAAGGGACAAACTCATGTGCAAGGAGGAGGGAATGGCTCTTCCCACCCACCGCTGCTGGGTCACGGTCTCCTCCAAGTGTCCCATCTTGGTTGGCACCCAGCACGTTTGCAGGTTAAATAGCAACTGCTGCAGTCACATGTGGAGATTCCCATGCAGTCCCATGCAAAACAAAGCAGCTCAGAGATAACCACCCCGAATCGTTTGCACCATGGCCCTGCAAGGCCCGGATGACATAGAGACATTAAATACTCACCTGTGCTTCCGTCAGGCAAATGCAAACTCAGATTTGCGGCCCCAGCACCCTCTCGGTGCATGACGAAGCCAACGAGCAGCCTACAGATCCCTTCTGGTTTGTTATGGGAACAGGACTGAGCAAAGTGATCCTTTTAAAAGGATAAACAATTCTCCCAACCGAGGGATGTATATCAAATAGTTCCTGTGAGCCACAGGGCTGGTCCAGACTCTGTAGCTCTGGCATGAAGGGTGAGGGGTGGATCTGGCCAGAGAAACCGCACACAGCGTCAATCAGGACATGGGTCCCTGCACGATTGCCCATCCACGTGAGCATCTCCCCTACATGCCAGCCCTCTCTTCCTCCTCCTCATACCATGTCGGGTCCAGCCTGAGTCAGACACTGCCTAACCTCATCAGCACCAAGGCAAATTCGATCCTGGCGCTGGCTGGCCACTGACAGGGGCTGCGAACGGCAGAGCCCGCGGGGCATGGAGAGCTGCACCGGCCATACGGGAGCAGACAGCCAGCTTCCCTTCCCTCCCTGCCCTTGCCCAAATTGAATTTCCATTTATGTTAGCGAGGCAATGGATTATAGCTTGGAGGGGTGCTGCCTGCTTCAATCCCTAATTTGGTGCATCAATTGTGTTTAAACCTACTTACCTGTAAGTCAGTCTCTGTTCCAGGCAGGCAGCCCTCGTCTCCTGCCGATGGAGGCAGCTGCTTCGCGGAGCTCCTCGCCACAAGTGTCGGGCACTGCTGCTTTCAGAGTTCTGGAAACCACAGCTTATCTCGCTTTAGGGCTGGCTTTGCATCCAGGGTCACTAATGGCAATGAAAGGCTTTAGCACATCGCCAGGAGGGTTTTGACATGGCACTTTGCAGAAGATGGGGCCAGTAACACCGGGTGGAGGATTAACGCTGCTGCCTGGGTTTGTACAGCATCCAGCACAGCCGAGCTGGGGCCTGGGGGACACATCTGAGCACTATCCATTAACAGTAGCCCTTCTCTGGGGCTCACAGCATGCCCCAGGTATTCCCTGTGCATTACTGAACCCTTAGCTCTTTTCTGCCGGGGGCGGTTGGCAGGGTCTGCCTGGCGCGGGGCAGGGGGATGTGCAGGGATGCCGGAGTCTCATCTCCAGCACAGGATGCTCCCATGCAAGCACCAGCGTAATCGTGCTGGCTTTAGCTCCGGCAAGAGCTCGCAGGTGGGCAGAAAGCCACTGCCGCTGCTCTGCCTTTGAGGAAAGGGTCTGAACCCACGGCTCCCATCCCGCAGCCCTCCCGGTGTTCCTCCCGGCAGCCGGCCCGCGGGAAGCCACTCTGCATCAGCCCTGAGCGGTCAGAGTTTTGGAGTCAGGAAACTGGCATTTCTACATCTGATTGAAGTCTTAAAATAAACACCCAGAGCAGTGAGTGGAAAGCTGGATCCTCGCTCCTCGCCTGGATTTATGAGCAATGAGCAGGGAGAAACTGAAGCAGGGAGAGAGAGATGTACATAATATTTTTTCTCTTTAAATAAATTCTCACTGCTTATCTGCAAAGTTCAGCTGTTTTCAAGCTGACCTGCCCATGTTATGCTGCTCCACTGCAAATTCCTTCTGTAGAGGAAAGCTCAGGAGCTCCACTTGCACATGCCAGCAACCTGGGGGTTTCATCTCTGATAGACAGAGGCAGAACTCGTTAGCTAAGGACCCCCTCCCACCCCTGGGTGAGGATCATTTGCCTTCCTGGCATGCTGGCAGCTCAGCTTCTTTCCCTTTACAATGAGGAAAAAAAGCCAAGAGAAGTGGGTGAATCTGTGCTTGGAGGAGGTCAGAAATGGGGCAAGGCAAAAAAAATCTGTTCTCAGGGGCTTTTGTAACGCAGCCAGGGCTGGAGGACGAGGGACATCCATCTGACGCTTTCAGACAAGGATCTCAGAGCACAGTGTGCATCCAGGAATGAGCCCAGGAGCCTCAGGCAAAGCAGTGGGAATGCTGCCTCCTCCTTCAGGAAGATGAGTGGAGTCCCGGATCGGTTGAGGTGCGGACCCAGCTCCTCGGGCAGGGAGCCCAGGGCACCGCGGGGGTTCGGTTCACACCTCCAGCAAGTATGGCCCCAAGAGCTGTCATGGTGGAAGCCTTCCCAGGCGGCTCTAATGGCCTCCTCCTGCATGTTACGCTAGCTGGCCGTGTGCTTTTAAAGCTGGCACCAGCAGCAGCGGGAGGGCTGGTGTGGGGCCGGGCTGTGCGCTGGAGTCACTGTACCCGTGGGGTGTGGGATGGGGCTGAGGGATGCGCTTGTCTGGGAGAGCTCAGCTTTCCGGCTTTCTCTCTGCTTTGGCCTTTTGCCTGATAAAGCTGAATGAGAGACCAAAACCTCTAAGCAGCAGGTCACCCGACAAGGAGAGACACTCCGGATCAGTTGCCGCATTCCTGAGTAGCGGTTGTGTCTTAGGACAGTAAAACCTCATTGAATTTAACATAGAGATGCACACATTGATGATTCATTAAAACACTGAATCTATTTCCTCTCATTACACAGGGCTGGGAAACATGGATCTGCTCCCGTGACATTGCTGCAAGGACCACGAGTGAAACCCAAGATCCAAAGGGGACCGGAGGGGACTCCACACCGAAGGCATCTGAGAGCATCGCTTGTCATGTGAGCTGGCATTAATAAAACAAGACCACAAACTCCAAGACTAAAGCAAGGCAGTGTGTGTGTATCAAAGAGCTTGAGGCGGTTCATTATAATTCCAATTAACGTAGAAAAGTTAATAACCAAAAGAGAATACATCAGCCTTTAAATAAACGAGAAGGCGGAGGGGAAGAGACAAAAGGTATCTTTAAACTGGAGCCAAAATCCCAGCTGCTACAAAAGTGAAGAAATAACAAATATTTAACTTCTCTAAAAGTCCAGGCAGGTAGAACATTCAACAGGAGCCAAACCAGGGTGGGAGAGGAGCTGGGCTTTGCATGGGGATCCTTATTTTTGCTTAAATGGTGTGCTGGGTTTGGAAGGGTGAGAAATATTTCACACAAAGGCAAAAAGTGAAGTGAAGCGAAGAGAGAAGGGTTTAATTTCTGGCCATTTGGGTGAAATTAGTATTTTCTCTGGCATTTAGCTTTGCAGGGAAAATATTTCAAACACTGTCAATATTACTTAATGCCTAGGAGCTCAGACAAGGCCCTGCTTGTGGTCAGGGCTCCTTTGTGCTAACTGCATCGTTAGAAAGCAGAATAGCAAATCTCAAAGCCTGCAGCATCTCCCATTTGACTTCCTATTCCTGAGATACTCCACATCATGGGATAATTATCTAAATCATCAGTGCGGGGTGGATATTCTCTCCTTGTCCCATCCCAGAGTGATCCCATCCGAAAGAAGCAGCACATCCCAGGTGCTGCCTGCCCAGTGCTAAACTCTGTACTGCACTGATGAAAAACTCCCAGGAGGAAAACACAGACAGCGACGTTGACCCACACGTGGTCACCACGTCCTCAGCAGCACCAGGACCGGAGAGCCAGGGCAGCACTGCTGGACTCTCGTTTCTCCCAGGTGCTCTCAGGGGTGAAATCCTGGCAATGCCAGCACTGCAAAGCCCCCCGGGCCGCCAGGGTGAGGGGCCCATTCCCTGGCACTGCTGGGTGGGGAAGAGCAGCCCGGAGCTGGCGGGGCAGGAGCCTGAGAAGGGCTGAGTTCTTTTCCCAGGACAGTTATTAACCCAAAATGTAATTTTCCACCTGGAAAAGTAAATTGAGTCCCTGAGGTGTCCTTCACAGGCGATATATCCCTGTGGGGTATTTTGGAGGAGGATAGGAGAAGGGATTCATAATCCCCAGCAGTAAGTACACTTCCTCACTGCAGTCCCCATCGCCTGCCTACTCCAGCCATCGTGGCTGACTCTGTTCCTGTTCCCCGTGTCCTCTGAGGCGCTTGGATGAACGGTACAGCACGCTGCTAATAACGTGCCGTTCATTCTAATTTTCTTCCCTGATTTCTTTGAGCATTAACAAGCTGGGGTGACTCTGCTCTGGTTTGTACCCTTTCTGTCCTCAGCTGCTGGGAGCCTGTGGGGCTGTCTCCAACGCTGGGGTGTGCAGGAAAGACCCTGTGAGATGCCAGGACCCCAGCTCAGCACGGCCAGGCTGGCTCTACCCTGCTAAAATAAACTCTTGCAAAATTTTCTTGGAGATGTGATCACAATTACATGTAAAACTATTATTAACAGGTTAAAAAATGGATGGAGACTGAGATGGGAAGAGCACAGCCATCTCCTACAGCATCTCTGACTGAGCAATCTGGCTTGCTGGAGCAGAAGGCACCATTGCCACCACCCAAAAAGGACATGTCCTCTCCTGGGACCCTCCCTCTGGACCTGCCTTGACACCTCCAAGATCTCCAGCAAACGACACCACAGTTGGCTCAGAGAGGTTCATTTTAAACCCCACAGCAACTACAGGACTGCGGGGCTCTTAGTTGCTTGACTCGGCTCAGCTTTCAGCAGCATCTCATGCAAACGTGTCCCCAGGGAGGCCAAAAATAAATAAACACAGAAATGGCTTCCCGGACTTCGTGCCATTGGCGGGGCCTCGGGGAGGGAACGTGCAGCGGGTCCCCGCGGTGCAGCCCAGACCTTGGCACAGCCTGAGCAGCACGCCGCAACAGGATTTGGGGGGAGCCGAGGGGTCCCCAGGGTGTGCTGGGGCCACCCGACCTGCAAGCCATGAACCTGTGTGGTTACTCAGAAGAGCAAAAAGAAAACAGGGATGCACACAGTGATACCCTGACCTGCACCCAGCAGAGCATGGGCAGGGAGAGGGACTGGGATTCTGTGTCTGGCAGCTGACCCTGGGCTTTGATTCCCCCAGTCTGGCCAGCTTTTGGGTAGTAAGTGGTCCCAGTCTGGGGAACATGGGGATCTGCGGCTGGGATTGCTCGTGGGGCTATCCCGGAGCTTTTGCCCCACAGAGGGCAGGCAGGGCTGGCTGCAGAGCTGGGCGAGAGGCACCGCAAGCAGGGCAGAGCGCGTCCGCACAGGGCTCGGCAAGAGCAGCTTGCAAGTAAACAGCCCTTTCCAGCCACTAAGGAAGATTTAAGAGCGAATAACATCAGCCCAGTCGAATTCAATTGCTATTGATAATGTCCATGTGCAATTAGAGCCAATTAAGGGGAGGCAGGGAATGACAAGTGTTTGGCCAGGAGGTGGGGGGGGGGTCAATACAACAAACCAATTTCCCAACAACCAAATGCAATTAAAGAATATCACTTACCCAGCTTGCCCAGGAGGGCCAGCGCATAAATGGGCAAAGCCAGGCACGCGGGTGCTGTCCTGCCCGGCATGCAGACTTCCAGGAGCAAGCCCTGCTCCTGCCCCAGCTTCAAGCTGCGGGAAGTGGCATCCATGTATTTCACCATGATCGCGGTGTTCCTGGTCATCTTGGTGGTGGCCCTGCAGGGCTCAGTGCCCCGCAGGAATGATTTTCCCTACAAGGTACCCCTCGATCCCCAGGGGCTGCTCGAGCTCTCCTGGAATGTCAGTTATCCCGAGCAAGCCGTGCATTTCCAGCTCCTCGTCAGGGACCTGCAGTTCGGGCTCCTCTTTGGGATGTCAGACAGGGGCGAGTTTGAGAACGCGGACCTGGCCGTGCTCTGGAGCGACGGGCGCAATTCCTATTTTGGGGTGAGTCGCTTGTGTGTTTGCATGGCTGCTTTTGGGGTTGCATCCCCCATGGGTGAATCTGGCTCGTGGTTTGAAAGAGTGGGGATGGTCCGGGGCACGGTGCACGCTGGACCGCTCCCGCTGCTCAGGTGGAAGGGGGTCCAAAAGGGCTTGGAAGCTTCTATCTCAGAGGGACCCACAGATCAGGTCTACGCTATGGGTTTGGCATTGAATCTTAAACCCAAAGAGAAAAGAATAAATATATACAGCAGCACATGGGCAAGGCTGAGTGGAACCAGAACCTGGATGTCTCTGCTGTGCTTAGGTGCAAAGAGCTCCAACAGGTGGTTGTACAGACCAGCTCACACTCACACACATGCACACACACGCGCAGGATGTGTCAACACCTTGGTTCACTTGTGTGCTGCTGTCAGTCACGTTAAAAATTAACCACAGCTCCCGTTAATGACTTTGAGACAGCGCAAAAGTTATCAGACAGAAAAGCTGCTCCTGCCAGCACCAATAACCCAGCTGCAAGTTGCGTTCGACGCTATCGCAGAGATCAACAGGACAGAGGAAAACACAACCTGACGGCTGCCTGCCAGCGGCGCGGTGTTATCAGAAATTAAACATGCAAATGTATTTGGGCGGTACGTAAACAGCTGGTGGTAGCAGATGGGGGGGAACTCATTTCTAATTTTGCGGTTTGATATTGCTACTGCAAATCACTGTCCTTTCTGACACAGTCCGTTTGTCCAGGTTCTTGTTCGGTTTCTTTTTCCACCGGGGCTGCAGTTACAGTAACTACCCTTGTGCTCTCCAGCAGCTACCTATCCCCAGCCCACCACGTTAGGCTTATTGCAATTGCGCTTGGCTGCAGAAAGCAATTCACATTTTTCCCCGTGTGAGGCTTTCCAGTAAGTTAAATCTTACCTCTCTGCTTACTTCAAATTAACCATAAAATACATTCTTGCACAATCAGCCACAATGTGATCTGCAGTGTAATGAAAGGATGAAAAGAAGAGCTTATTATCTGTGCTGTTTTCCTGCTAATTACCAACCATTCAGGATGTGTGGTGGCCTGAATGCTACAGTATTTCACAGCATCATGTTAAAAAAACATAAAGGATCATTTCTAATCTGCCTTCATGTGCTCACCGTAAGACAAACAGCACGGAATTAAACACCAGGCAGTATTTGGGCTTTCTCTTTCAGTTGGTGCTGAACAGCGTCTTGCAAGGAGATTTCTATAAATCTCTCCAGTCCTGGTTTTCTCTCTCCCAGCAGCCTTTCTTCTGGATAAGTATGTCAGCTGTTAAAAAGATCCAAATTTGCTTAACCCCCCATGTACTAGGAGATTAATTTGCACACCATATTCCTATGAAAACAAATGTCATGCTAGCTTCATGTGGCTGATTCTACTCTTCCACTCTAAGGACAATATGTTCTCGAAATATCACTCTATACTTCTGGTTGAAATGATGCCAAGATGCTTTATTCTTTTTCTTCTGTTTTTTTCCCCCAAGATAAGAGAACTGATGCCACTTGTAGTGTGTACAGCAAGGTACTTCTTAGGTGCCTTTTCTCAGTAAATAAAAGATATCAACGGGAGATGCAAAAGATCAAGACAACAACACTGTTCAGGTCCAAATTATTGCAGGATTTTATACTCCAAACCTCCAAATCCCTAAGCACAGAAGTAACCTACTGCTTTGCTTCTCGGAGTGTCGGTGTCACCATTGCCAACAATGAGCAGATTTTGGGAGGCTTTGCTGGGCTGCTGAAACAATCTGGCCACAACAAATTAAGGATTTTGAAGAGGGGTAGTGATTTCTAGGGCTGACACTACAGCTCAGCAAGGGGCTGATCTTAAATTGAGAGCAGCTGGTTTGTGGCAAGGGGCTTGGAGAGCACATCACACCCCCCCAAGAAGGTGCCCCAAAGCCAAATACACCCAAAACACAGCACAGACAGACGCAACACCTTCATGCATCCCCACAGGCTTTCCTCTCCCTGCGTCCTTTCCCCCAGTCGTATCTCAACTTGTAAAGGTCTTTCTGCAGCCTATTAATTCTGGATCATGTATTTCACAGGTCTGCCTGTGCCGAGCACCAAAGGTCTCATGGCAGGGGCCGTGCTGGCACGGCTCTGCCCGTGGGCTGCTGGAGGGGGGCATGGGGCAACCAAAACACGGGCTCCCTCCACCTTTGGGATGCGGAGGGTGAACAGAAGGATCTCACGACCCATGGTACCGCTGGAGGTCACCACCATGGGCTCCTTGGGCTGAGCGGGGCCAGTAGAACCTCCCAGTTAACTGGGTGCTCTTCCTCCCGCAGGATGCCTGGAGCGATGCCAAGGGGCAGCTCCACATGGATTCGCAGCAGGACTACCAGCTCCTCGGGGCTCGGAGGGCTCCTGAGGGTCTCTACCTCCTCTTCAGAAGAGCCTTCAGCACCTGTGACCCCAAGGACTACCTTATAGAGGTATGGCATCGCCCTTGCCCTGCTATAGCACCAGCAAGCCCCGGCTCAGCCCTGGGGCAGAGCTCCAAACCCCAACCTGCATAGTTATATCTGACCAGTGTTTTGTTTCGGGGACAGCATCAGGCGTTTGTGCTGTCTAAGGCAGAAAGGAAGTGTGCTACAGATGTCAGCCCTGGGACATGAGTAATGTTTGGCACGATCTATTTACAACCCCTTATAAACCTCTATAAAGTGTAGATTTTAGCTCGTTTGCATCATCCACTCCTGTTAAGCATGTGTTAGGTCTATATAAATACCCTCCTGCATCACTCCGGTTTGCAGTCTGGAGCCAACTGTTTGGAGTGTTACAAAGAGGTGATGGTTTTGTTCAACAGGAGGCAAAAAGGAGGGTTGTGGCAGGAGCCAGAGCAAAGGGACAGCAAATAGAGCTGCTGTGGTGTGCTTGTGTGGTTCGGTGAAGTCTCTCTGGGTCTGCATTCACCGCTCCCCCGTGAGATGGGATTTGAGGGAAACCTTCCCAGTGGGGATGTCAAAGAGCTTCAGGGCATCGGCCATGGACGCTGGGTGCGGGCAGGAATTGGTGCAAGGCTCATTTCAGATAAAAGCCTTTGGTGGGCAGGATATTTTAAAGCCAACATGGGCATCGAGCATCCTTGAGTTTTTGTTGCTGGTTTTCAAAAGCCTGTCTTGTCGTGAGAAATGTCTACTGTCTGCCAAAACACAGAGAGCCCTGGAGGAGAAAATTCTATGTGTGAACTGGGAAAAGACTTGCAGGTCTTTATTCTCTGATCCTTTAAGAAAAAAGTATTCTCTTTTTCCTTTCTTCCTTATCTCCTGTCCAGAGCTCACTGGGTTCAGCAGCAACTTCCCTGCTTGCAGTAGACTTTCAGCAGAGCTTCTTCTGGTACCCCCCCACCAACAGAAGCTGGGATAAAGGGAGGATTTCAGGGAGAAGTTTTGTTTCTGGTGTTCCACCCCAGGCTGCTGCCTGTGGCCATTGCTGGGGCTGGGCTGCAGGGTGGGATGAGCCCTGAACTGATGTGGTTGTCTCTGCCTGGAGCTCAGAAGGGATGAGGGACTCTGAAAGAGCACAGAGGAGATGCTCCCCTTAAGGAACTGATGCCATCTAGGGAAAACTTTTCAGACTCTCCCAACTGGTAGGGAACCCTCTGTGATCACATCAGTCAAAGAAATGCCCCGAAATCTACAGTCTTCTTGGGACAGCACAGCAAAGTCAGCTACTGGTGAAGTCAGGGTGGCTTCCCATCTGGGCATGGGTCAAAAGGCCCATTCCTGGATTCATGCCACCAATACTGGTGCTAATAGTCCATGCAGTTCATGTTCCTGCATGAAAAAACTACCTGATACACTTTGCTCTTGCTTCAGGATGGCACTGTGCACCTTATCTACGGGATCCTGGAGAAACCGGTCCATTCCCTCCAAGCCATCAACATCTCTGCCATCCACAGGGGACTGCAGAGGGTGCAGCTGCTAAAGCCCAACATCACCGTCCCTGAACTGCCCAGCGACATGAAGACGATGGAGATAACGGCCCCTGATATTGTCATTCCCAGCCAGGAGACAACCTACTGGTGTTACATGGCAAAGCTTGCAGAAGGCTTCCCCAAACATCACATTATCATGGTAAGAGGCAGGAGAAGAGGGTTGCTTTCCCTGGTGCAGGGCAGCAATCGTGTTCCCATTTAGCCATTCTGGAAAGTCCACCTCTTCCCTGCCCTTTCACAGGGAGGCTTTCAGACCCATACGTCTTCCCCAACATGGTACCAAAACATCTCCCAGAGCCATCCCACCAGCCAGTAGCATCCTCCTGCCTCCCAGAGAACCCCAAATCAGAAGTTTCTCAGCAGAAGGTGGCAGGTTGGTGACTTTCCACCCAGCACATTGAGCAGGTACCAGGGCAGGCTCAGAGCAGCCCCCTTGCAGAGCTGACCCCCTGCAGAAGGCAGAGCTGTAGCCATCAAGGACAGATCTGTGGCAGGATTATGGCACACAGTGAGCCATGAGGAATATATAAACATGGGAAACAAAGGAAAAGAGCTGGTGAGAGTAGGGCAGAGCGAGCCAGGATATGAACTGGCTTCTAAAAGATTAGGCATACTCCAAAAAAAAAAAAAAAAGGGTTACAGACAAAAATCTAACTTGTGTGCATTGCCCAGACATGTTGCATATGCTTGGGTCACCTCCTTCAAAGGAGAGGCTGAAACCTGCAGACAGCCCAGTGCCAGGGAAAGGCAGGCATAACACCAGTCTGACCGCCCATCACGAGCTGCTGGGAGAGCATCGCCCCGGCAGGCGCGGAGGTGGCTCGGCAGATGACCTGGCACACCCAGAGTCAAAACCGCACAACGGGGAGAGGGAAAACCTGACACGCGAGCCGAAGCCAGTGCTTAGTGATTTATAGGGGAGAGACGACATTGCAAAGGAAAACTCAGAAGGAGGATTTTCTCTCCAACAGATGGTGTGAAATGAATCATCTGTGTGTAAGTAAAAAGTGCGTAACTCCTGATACCTTCCCGCTGCTGCAGATCATTTCTACAGCTGGCGCTTTTAGCCAGAGCTGTTCCTCAGGCTTGTTTGAAGTCACTCTTTCTACCCCGAATCCCCCTCCCTGTGCCCTGAGCAGCTGTTGACTAGAAATGAAACCCAATAGCTGCGGGCAGAGCTACCACAACATGGCCAGAACCCCCTTTAGGAAAAAGCAATGTCCCCAGGGTCACCTCAGCCCTGCAAAACCAGGAAAGGACTCAGTCATCACAAAGCAGACCAAGATCTTCTGCTGATCAGGCACATCTGTCGCTGGAGAAGGGATGAGATGTTTCTCTATGGGTTCTCGTGGACCCTGTTTTTTTCCCAAAGCCGACCAAGAGCTCTTGGCCCTTGGTGTTTCATGCCCAAAGCAACCTTCTCTCCCCATCACATGGCAGAAACTGTCTCCCATTCAGTAACAGGTAGCAGACATACCTGCCTTGGGTTTCTAGTGGAGCCTGCACAGACGGCAGCCCCCAGGGATGGGCTCTCAGCGAATGGTCTTAATGTGTCCTCCTTCTTGGATGCTGCTTTGCAGTATGAGCCAGTGATCACAGCAGGCAACGAGGCCCTGGTCCACCACATGGAAGTCTTCCAGTGCGCTGCCGAATTTGACAGCTTCCCCCATTACAATGGGCCCTGCGACTCCAAGATGAAGCCAGACCGGCTCAACTACTGCAGGCACGTGCTTGCAGCATGGGCCATGGGAGCACAGGTGGGTGCGAGATGGGACCTGCCGCCCTGGGTGGAAACTTTGCTCCTGGGTGCTTTCCTGCTGCCTCTCAACCCTTCCCAATGCCATCTTAGGATCGCCCCATACGGGCTGCCCCAACCCCGTTCTCTGCTGGGATCTGGGTTCAGCCCTGTCTGACCTCCCCATCCTTCCTCTGAATGTGTCTGAGTTTCCACCTCACCCCAGCCCACCTCCTTGGTGCCATAAATCGGTGCGATGCTCCTACTCAGTGATTATGCCATTGCATGTGCATGTTGGCATGTGAGAAGCCTTTGGAAGCAAGACCGGCTCACCAAGCACAACCAAGAGCACAAGTCACGTCCCTCAGCCCACAACGAGGGTCAGGATTATGCCCAGACATTTCAGCCTTATCCCCAGGAAAGCCACCCTACCGCTCCCCTAACATCCTCCCTCTGCTTCCAGGCTTTCTACTACCCAGAAGAAGCAGGTCTTGCCTTTGGTGGCCCGGGAACCTCCAGATATTTGCGCCTCGAGATTCATTACCACAATCCCCTGGTGTTCAAAGGTGAGTGGGCGCACAGCAATGCCCAGTGCCTCCCCAGTGAGGCAGTGGCAGGAGAGCTGAGTAAATGCCAGGGACTGCCACCCCGCTGGAGCGGGCTCCGTATTTCATACAGAAGAAGTCTTGGCCAAAATCACAGCCCTGTTTGCAACTTTCTGGAGACTTGATGGTCCAGATCTGTCCTAGCGGGAGGAATACATTAAATCCCCACCATGCTGCCACCTTGCTGGTCTCAGCAAAGTCATCCTCACCGCAGGCTGGACCCCAGCCTCGTGCATGCCCAGCAGCGGGGAGGGATGCTCGGGGAAGGAAACCTGGCTGAGCCTGCAGCCCTGCAGGCAGAAAACTGCACCAACACATCCTTCCTGCAGGGCCACGATCCAAGGCAACACGAGTATTTAGCTGGGCTGTCACAGGGTGTCCCTCCGATTTCTGTGTAAGGTGGTGGTGGTGGGTCTGAGCTCAGAGCTCAGAGTGACAACGGTGCCGAAGTCACCCGAGACACAGCACCAGCCTGGCTGGGGATGGGGGGAATTTAGATGTTGTTTTATTGGTACTCCTGCTTCGATAACATTGTCAGGAGACACATTTAAAAAAAAAGATTCCAAACAACCCGGTTTCTTCATTAACATAAAAACAAGTAGCTTCTTGACTAACCAAGTATATTTTTAGAAGACCAGAGCATATGTACTGTAGATCAATCATAGCACATTCGGCAACTCGAGAAGAAACACGTCTATAAATATGGAGCTCATGTCTTTCATAATTTATCTGGTTTTGCGTGTTAACCAATAGTGTCTCCCCCGTTCTTCTTATCCCTGGGTGGGCTCCAGCCCAGAGACAGGGAGTTCAAAGCCAGCCTGAACCCCTCCTGACCTACCGAACCTGCCCTTTCCTTTTGCTCGCAAAGCTGGGTGGCAAACGGGAGCCAGAGCTCAGCTTTGCATCTCAGCAGAGCTGGCTGCTGCCCCTGCCTGCCCCGCGGTCAGCATCTGCCAGGGCACATCACAGGCACAGGGTCTTCTCCAGCTCCTGAGGGGAGGTTAAATGGAGCAATCTCAAATGCAAGAGAGACCAGAAACCTTCCAAATGCAAGGAGTACTTGCTCCATAGGTATGTCTCCTCCTGCCAGGCCACCAATAACAGCATGGCCTTAGCTTTTTGGATGTATCGGTTAAAGAAGATGCAATGAGCCATATTTCTGAGGGAGTTCTTCAAAGCACCCCATGATCTGTCCTTCTGCTTTGGGCTCTCCAAAGACACTCCTTACTTCGCTCTCTTGGGAGAAATTCACTACCACAGGTCAGTGACCTCTCTAGGGGACCAGGCGCATGTCTGGGGCCACTCCATAAAGCCTTGCATGAAAATATCTAGGATTTAAAACCAATAAGAACCACACACACGAAGAAGGCTGCAAGCGAGAGGCTGACGCATCTCTCCCCACTGCAGCACAGCATCATTTTTCACGCCTGACCTTGTCCCGGCAGCCGTGACTTCTGCCACAGTGAGTTGCAGCCTTGTCCTCTCACCCGCCAGGTCGCCGCGACTCCTCAGGGATCCGTCTCTACTACACGGCCACCCTGCGACGCTACGATGCCGGCATCATGGAGTTGGGCTTGGTCTACACGCCGGTGATGGCCATTCCTCCGGGTGAGGATGCCTTCCTCCTCACGGGCTATTGCACCGACAAATGTACCCAGCTGGTGAGTGCCTGTCGTCTCCACCTGGCTTCGCCTTGGAGAAGAGAGGTTGCAAACAGCTTTTCCCAGGTCCCAGGCAGCAGTGATATGGCACCGAGCTCCGGGCTCCCAATTCCCAGTTTTAAACTCCCCGAGCCCCTTATCATGATGTTGCGCTGGAAAGAAAAATCTGCCGTGTACAACAAACAGCGAGCAGCTGGTTGGGATGTGCTGAATCCCCCTCAAAACAGCTCTCCTGGGGAGCCATCTGCTCCGGCTCCCCAGGATACCATTCCCATAAAACTTACAGCCGAGCTGGCCGTGCCCCGGCGGTGCTTTCCCTCACGGAGATGGGAAGATTGGCCTCTGCTGCCAAGGAGCTTGCCAAGAACTCTCTCAAAGATGGTTTCAAAATGCCCACCTTGCTCTCAGGGAAGTTTTAGTGGATGTTTTGTAGGGCCTACCCAAAAGGAATCATTTGTGCCACCACTAACGAACGTAGGGAAGCAAGCAGCGTCCGGCTCAGCTGCTCCTGCTGACTTAGGGCACAGCAGCGCGTACAACGGATTTGGCAGCGGATCGAGCATCTGTCCCTCCACAGGGAGCTCACTTCTACGCTGCTCCAGGGGTACAGCAATCCCCTAAACCCCTCTGTGGGAACCAGCACAGGGACGGCCGGTCTCAAGCACACAGCAAGGGGATGCACGGGAGGGGAGAGGGATGGGGTCAGGCACAGGGGCTTGAGCCATCCTTCTCCCAGGCTTTGCCCGCTGCCGGCATCCGCATCTTCGCCTCCCAGCTCCACACTCACCTGGCAGGAAGAAAAGTGGTGACGGTGCTGTCCCGGGATGGGAGAGAGCGGCAGGTCGTGAATGCCGACGGTCACTACAGCCCTCATTTTCAGGTAGAGGGGTTTGGAGGGGGGGGGGGGGGGGGGGGGATGTCCTGGCTGGATGTCACCCATGGGGCTGCCCTGGGTACAGAGCCACCGCATTGCTCTGATGCGTCCCTTTTCCTTCCCTCCCAGGAGATCCGCATGCTGAAGGAGGTGGTTGCAGTTTTTCCAGTGAGTGGCTCCAAAAACCGTGGTGGCTTCCAAACAGCCACAAGACCTTCCCCTCACCCCACAGCCCTGAGTCCCCCTGCCTCCTCTCCATCACCTCATGCCCTCCACCACCAGCAGCCCCTGCCCACACACAGGCACCCACAGCCATCTGGGACCCCCCGGGGGGGCTGCAGGAGGACCCCCTCCCTGTGGTCCCCAGGCCATATCTGCTACTCCTGTGCAGATGCCTTGGGGGACACCGGAGCCCATCTCATATGGTACCAAACTGGTGTGTGGGCAACCGAACTGTGTCGGCAGCTCAATTAAGCACCTAATTTAGCTGGGCTTCCTCTAGCAGAGGGAGGCTCCTCGGGGGGTGAGGGTGAACCATGCGCGCACTGAAGGTCCCCCCTCCCTCCTTGCTTGGTAGAAGGAGAGGAAGAGATTCGGCAGCGAATGTTGGGGGACCAGGTGGTAAAACAGAGGCTGAGTGTGCCCCGGGGCTGCATGGGTGAGGAAGGACCCGGCTGCAAAGTGGAGGGCACCTATGGGAGCTGTCGTGCCCCAAGATGCTGCTCAAAAGACTCAGCACCCATTGAAACCGTACCCAGGGCTGTGCTCCGGGATGTCCCCATGGACCCCAGCACCGACTGTGGCAGGGAGGCAGTTGTGTCATCAAGTCGGGTAGAGGTTTGGCAATTCAAAATGTTGCCTAGGTGCATTTATTTTAGGTGCTTCAGCCCTGCAGAAATTCTTAGAAAGTGAGGAAAGCAAGAAACACCATCCCTGGGATATGGCCCTAGGGAATCTTCCCCAGGGGATTCAAGTTTAGCAAGCGCTCCTGCGGCACCGCGGCCGGTGCTGGCGGGGAAACAGGCTGCCCACAGGCTGGCACTGCTACAGGGAGCAGAGATCTGCTCTATTACAAACTCCCCGATCCCCAAATTTGCTGATCGGAGAGGGGAAAGCTCTGCACTCTCACACCTCCACGTGTCTGTGTTCGACCCCCCCCCCCCCAGGGGGACCAACCCATACAGACCTGCACGTACAACACGGAGGACCGGAGCCGAGCCACGGTGGTGAGTGTGGGGGCGAGTTCACCTGCACGCGTGGGGCTGGCGTGTGTTTGCACCCCAGGGTTGGGGGGGCACCCGCAAAGCAAGCACCTGCATGAACCCAGGCTGAATCACAGTCAGAAACCAGAGGGAGGGTGGTAAAGAAGCGAGCCCGCAAGGCTCTGCTGCCTGCAGCGGGGATGTTAAGGTGCTAATTGAGAAGTAGCATGTGTCACTCTAATTCCCATCACAAACTGTTCCACCGGGGATTAATTGTAATTAAAGAGAAGTGGCGTTTTTTGACAGTGCATGTTATTTTCTTACATAGGCAGGAAAAAAAGAGCCTGTCAGAGGTACCATCAACAGGGACAAAGCTAAATATAGCAGAGGGATTATAGGAAATCTGCATTTTAATGTAAACCACACGATCTAGCCCAAAAGTCAGTCTTTGCATAAAGGGTGGATGGGCAGATGAGCAGAGTGCTGCCCATCCCATGCACCTGAAGGGGTGCATATATATATATATATATATATATATATATATATGTGTGTGTGTGTGTGTGTGTGTGTGCGCGCACATACAGGTGTGAGCTTTGTGCCTTTGCAGCCCCTCTGCCCTCCCCGCTGCCCGTGCAAGCCCCGGCAGGGCAGAGTTGGACCCAGCTGCCAGCACGTTTTTTTCTGTGCCGCAGGGCGGGTTTGGCATCCTGGAGGAGATGTGCGTGAACTACGTGCACTACTACCCCCAGACGCAGCTGGAGCTGTGCAAAAGCGCCGTGGATCCAGGCTACCTGCATCGATATTTCAACCTCGTGAACAGGTACAGAGCCCCTGTATGGTGGTGCTGAGGGGAGAGGGACCACCGCAGAGCCTTTTGCCAGTAACATTGGGAAAAAAGTTTAAAAAATGGGGTTTGAGGGGCTGGCTTTGCAGTAGGTGTGCGGGGGCACTCAGGCAGTGCGGGTTTTGGGAGCCGTGGCTGCCTGCTGGAGCTCAGTCCTGCCCTCCCCTGCCCCCAGAGCTGGCAGCCAAACCCAGGGCTTTAAGGATGGCTGTATAGCGAGAACCACCAGGAAGGGGGAGCATTCCCGAGGACAGACTTCCCGGCAAGAGTCAGTGCATGGCCAAGTGCTTATGTGCAAAATACTTCTTATAACCCAAGGCAGACGCCAAGCATCCCTGCCAGAGAAGCAGGCTGCAGCTCATTCACCCATGGTGAGAGGGGCGAGATGGTGACCTTGCACGGGTGTCCTATTCATGGGCAGTCCGGCTGGGCCCAAATCTTCCCTCGTAGGTACCGGCTGTGCTAGGCTCTCCCTGCTCCCAGCGCCAACTTCAGAGCCATTCCAGGCCAAGCTTTAGGCAGGGAGGAATTAGACACATCCAGCGCTGAAAGGGGACAGCACTGCTGCGTTTCAGTCTAGCATTTCTCCTGCCCCAGGTTTAACGACGAGGAGGTCTGCACGTGCCCACAGGTCTCCGTCCCACAGCAGTTTTTCTCCGTCCCCTGGAACACATTCAACAGAGATGTGCTAAAATCCCTCTACGGCTTTGCTCCGATCTCGATGCACTGCAACAAATCCTCAGCCGTCCGGTTCCCGGTACGTATAGCTTCACAACCAAAGCTACAAAGCAAAACTCCCAGTCGTAGGTAAAAAGCAGCTCGGCAGAGCTGTGCCACAGGGTGATCCCAATGAGACAGGTCAGGTCTCTGGTGCTCAGGACACGGCTGTACCCAGAGGGCTTGGAGCTGCCCGGGGAACCGCGGCGTCAGCGGGACACTGAGCCCAGCCCAGACCTGGCATTTAAGACGATGTGGCACGAGCCCACCCTGGATGTGCTCGGCCAGATTCAACTAGGAGATGCATTTGCATAAAATGATTTTGAGGCAGCTTTCACTGAGTGTTAAAGCAGGGCTAGCTCCAGAACCGAGGAGAAATGTGAGGTGGTTTTTAGGATTTTGGCAAAATGCATCGGGTCCCAGCAGAGCGAGCTCATTACGCACAGCATCTGTGCGGTCTCCAAAAGCAACGATCCAGCAAAATGTGAAGGATAAAGGGCCACGAAATCTTTAAAGAAAAACCAGGCCCAGCCATGATGGTCACGATGATGGTGATGAAGATTTAAAACCACTGATGGTCCCTATCACCATCAGTTCCCGACACCATTTATCAGTGTAATAAACTTACACAATACGTTATCCACTGCAGCACTGGAGAATGCCGAGCTGATTGCAGCGAAGACCATCAGCTTTCTGTCCTGGTAAATCCCCTTTAGCAAAGTCTGCTCTGGAGGGGCAGAAACTTTTCCAGTTCTCTGGGACTGGAGACCCAGCACCTCCCAGCCATGCAGAGCCCCGCTGCAGGGACAGAAGTGGCGCAGAAGTTTTGTGCAGCAGCAAAATTGTAAATTAAGCCTCTTAATTACGACCCAGGCAACTCTCTTGGTTTCAGAGAGGTCTGGGGAGCAGCCGAAGAAGAGACTTGAGCGGAGCAGATCTGACGCTGGCACAAAGTGGGTCACAAGCATCGCAGCAAGGGCGAAGGAGCTTTTCAGAGCGAGCCCGATTTTAAGACATCTCATTTATTCCACACCGTTTCTGCCAAGAGAAAAGCACCGGCTTCTAATTAAGCTCGTGTTTTTGCAGTTCAGCGATCCCAAAGCTGACGAGATTTCTGGAAGGACTCAGTGCTGTTAATTATTGAGCAAAATCTCAAGGTACTGCCTGTGAGCGGCTGCGGGGATGTCGCTGTCCCCGAGTCCCCTGCACCTGCAGGGACTTGCAGTAAACTCTGTATAATCTCTACATTCAGATTTCCACTCAAAAGCACTGAAAACAACTATCGAGACACTCCAAATGCCTTTGATCTATCCCAAGAGCAGGGTGCTGGCGAGGTGCTAGCACAGGGTTTGGGACGTGTTGGCAGGGCAGAATGCTCCAGGGCTGGGGCTGAGCCCTGGAGCAGGCACACCCCAAACACATTAACTGCTCTCTTAAGCCATAAGGTTCCAGGAAAATAGTTGTTTCTCCAGTTGGTACTTCCCCATGATGCTGTCCCCTCTCCCATTGCTCCCCATGTGCTTTTGGAGGGTCTCTCCATCCCCCTCCACCTTTCCCAAGGCGTTTTCCTGGTGCCGGTGCAGGCTCTGGCCCGTTTCGCGTGACATACTACAAGGAATTTAATCTGAAAACAGAAATTCAACTTTCATCTTCTTGCTGATGACTCATGGCTCTACCGCTCCTCTCCAGACCTCCCTCCTCCTGCTCACGCTGCGGCTCAGCCTCTCGCCGACATTTCCACATGAGAGCGCGGCCAGCAGCCAAACCGTAGCATCACTGAACCAGAGCTCAGCCCAGTCTGAGCCCCCCTTCGCCCTCGCAGCCCCTGCCTGTGTCTCAACCGGCCTCTAACCCGGACCAACACTTCACATTTGAGCTAGATCCTGCCCGGCGGGCTCAGCCCTCGACACTGTCTGAACCTGGCAGGTTGCTTCTTGCAGGGAGCATCCCCAAGAGAAGGTGCCCCCATGCATGGATGGAGCTGGTGGTTTTATCCTGGCCGTGGTCACCTTGAGCCCTGATGGCTGTGACAGCCTTTCCACGTGGCATCTCCCCCAGGCTGCTGCATCCCTCCCGTTTTCACAGCAGCCGCACATGAACATCCATGCTGGCACGCTGCAAATGTCACCTCCAACCAACCTTTCTGCCAATACCTGGTAGAGAGCATTTTTCAGGGCTGGGCTGAGAGCGCGGTGGGTTGGTGGGACTCCCTGGTTTGAGTTGTGTCCATCTGATTTGGTGGGTAACACTTTTTTGGGGTGGAAACTCCCTAACTGTGGTGGGTTTGTGCGACGTGGTGCACCACAGACATCTGCGCCGCTAAAGGGATGCGTAGGTGCTTCTGCAATACAAATAATTAGTAATGCCTCATGAGAAAACATCCTGGTTTAGGCTAAAAACACTTCAAATATCAAAGATCATTCCATTTTCACAAAGAGGGAGAAACACAGAGTCTCCAAGTACCTGAAACCCCGACTTGATCTCATGGTGCCGATATCTCTTGCAGGGCGAGTGGGAGAAGCAGCCGCTTCCCACCATCACCGAGAGGCTGCGGGAGCCCATCCCTCGCTGCCCACCCACCCCGGGGCCTCGGCCTGCAGCCCCCATCCCCCTCAACCTGGGTGAGCTCAGGAGGGACTGACCCCATGCTCGCTCCCTCCACCATGATGGGAAGCACCTCCTGGCAGGAGCATCCGCAGGGAATGTCGTCCCGTCGCTCTCCCGGCATCCCTGCCCACACAGCGATGCCAGCCGGTGCCCTGGCCCCAGCCTCCGGAGGGGGTTAGAGCTTACAAACTAGAGTTCAGAAAGTACTCTGGAGATGGAAAGCGCTATATTTAGTGTGTTATTAGCAATCCTGGCTCTGAGTAATACTGCTTTCCGCCCCCAGAATAATAATGTGAAGGTTTGCTATTGTGCCGAACCCAGCGCAGCCCCGGGGAGGTGGGGGGAGAAGCGTGTTTTCCCGCAGGGAAACTGAGGCACGAAGCAAAGACCTGCGTGGGAGCAGCGTACAAGCCTTCCCAGTGCCCCACGGTTCCGTCTAGCTCAGGGCAGCTCCGCGGGTGCTCTCCCATGCCGGCACCCACAGCAGGGACAGAGGGAGGGAGGGAGGGATGCCGCGACGCCCACCCAGCACTCGTCTCCCCACTGCAGGGACCGCGGCTCCCCACCGCTCTCCTCCTCCCACTCCCCTGTGCTGGGGATTATTCGCCTTGACGCTACCAGATGCCAATGGCCAGGAACAAATGATACCTCTGTGATGGGGTTTAGAAAGGGGGAGGGACACAGGGGAAAAGACAAACCTTTTGGCAGGAGAAATGACTCCATTAAATACCTAAATGTGAAAAAAATTTTTTTTTTTTTTAAATTGCTTTTTGCTGTTGAGCTCCAAAGGGAAAACACTTGGGAGGAGTGGAGGAAAGGCCGGCGGTGCTGCAGGAGAGCCTGTCCATCCCAGCCGGGCGCCTGATCCTGCTGCCCTGGGGTGGGTGGGATCCAGGGCAGGGCAGCAGCTGAAACCTGCCCTCCCGGCCACCTTGGGTTTAAGGAAAAACCTGAGGTCAGAGCACCGTGGATCAGAAAGGCCTTTTTGAAGCAAAACATTATCTTTGCAGGCACGCAGTGAATCCCTGGCTCGGTGGGGAGGCAGCGTGCTCGGTCCCTCATTTATCCCCAGGACAAATGGACAGGACTGCGGCCACCCCCTCCCTCTGCCTGAGCAGAATCAGGGAGTGCAATCACCTCCTATTCAGAGAAAAAAATCATCCTAATCTTGTTTTTTAATGTTTCCAGTAAAACCAAACTATTTGAGAGTTCAAACTCTTGCCCGTGGTGCTTTTTGCATGAGGCTAAGGAATTGAAATTGGCTCTGAAGAGGGTATAAACCAAGCAAACCCAGTCAAGGGAAATAAAGTGAAAAGCATGCAGCGTGATTATTTCTTCAGGCGGGTGAAAACTTCAGCAGAGATCAGGCCCTTGCTGCGCCACTGAAGATGGAGCCCAGCAAGGGGACCAGAGCAAGGGACGATTTCGGGGACAGGCTGGGAGCAGCTGCCCCTTCCCTTCAGCAGCGGGGGGTTCGCGGGCTGCACGCGTGCGATGAAAAACCTTCCCTGACACCTCTGAGACCGGCTCTGCGCTGCTGGAGGCATCCGTCGGGATGCTAAAAAGAGCCACCTCCAAGGTGACCTTTGGGAAGATGCCAGCAGAGCAGACGGGACCGTGGAGCCGCCGGCGGCCGGGGGCCAAGGGCAGCACTGGTGTCGGTGCCCTGGCTGGCGAGCTTACACCACAGAGCTGAGCTGGTCCTGCCTGTACAGGGAGCAGCCCAGAGGACACACAAACCCAAACAGTACTGGCAAAGCAGCTGCGGGCCAAAACACGTTCATGAAACTCTTCCTTCTATAAATTCAGAGGCTACACGCAGCAAGGACCCAGATTCCAATGGCACTTGCCTTTGGGAGTTTCTTTTATTCTCTGGGGCATGACACAAGAACGTCTCTCCAATTAGCATCAAGGGGCTGCACGGCACCACCGTGTTTTCCTCGTTTCAAACCCAGGGACTGGTGCAGGCGGGCAGCACTCCCTGGGCACCAACACGCTCCCATTGCCACGGCCAAAAACTGGGATTTGTCTTTACTCTCGCCCTCCCAAATGGACAAGGCCATCGTTCAGTTCTGGGGAAGATCGACCCTCCCTGCCTTCCGCACAGCCATCGCACGCTGAGGCAGCGCTTGAGCACCACAAACAAAATTGAAGCAGGTATTGAATGTTTTGCGCCCCAGGGTTGATTTTTTTAAAGGGCATCAGGTGCCAGTTACCGCTGAAGGCAACAGAAGTTGGTGCTTAAAATCCCTCTGAACGTTGGAGCCACAGGGAAGCATTTTGCCCAAGTGGGACCTGAAGCTCCGGCTGTGACTGGGGCAAGATGGGATGGAGGGATGAACCTGTGCTTGCAGAGATGGGAAGAACATACCTGGAAACCCCCTGGGTAAAGCCAACGACCTCATGGTGCAGAAGAACCTTGCAGTTAGCAGAGCATCCACGGTGTCAGGCCATGCAATGGCCCTGGACCCCCTGCCCCTTCCCTCCATGGCCCCCACGAGTGCTCCCACCCCAGCACCGGGTTCCCAGGGCACAGTCAGGGCAAGGTGACACCCATCAGAACAGGGACAGATGCAGCAAGGGACCGGAGAGACGGCAGGTTTGGAGGCTACAGCTGTATTAACAGCAGAGTTAGTTAAAAAAATTCATTTCCAGGCAGCGTGAAACTACATTTTGGAGGAAAGAGTTTCCAGCAAAGTCAAAAATTGAAACCTTTTCACTTGCAGTTGAGCAAAACACTGTTTTCAGGCCAATTAACCCATGGAAAAGAATTATTGCTGTAGTGGTATTGCTTCATTTAGAAAACAGAGCAACAAAATCTTTGGACTTTTTGGAATCTCTTCCTCCTCTTCCCCTCTAATTTGACCTAAATTTGTTTGACGAGTTCGCTGCAGACATTTGCCCGGCTCTCCCAGCAGACCCTGGAGCCAGCTAGGGCAGCCGGGGGCCAGGAATTCAGCCAGCAGCTCCTAATGGCATCTTCCCTCTCCTCATCCCGGCGTCCACAGCACCCGCTCGCCGGCCCCGCGCTGCCGCACTCTCAGTAAAAGCCTTTCACTCGCTTGTTGTCTGGGTCGAACGGGGACTTGGTGTGTGCTTGGGCAGGGTAGGTCACTCCCATCCGCTCCAGCTGGTAGCTGCCGCTCTTCACGAAATCCAGCGAGACCTGCAAGGCAGAGCCATGGTGAAACCCCTCTTAGGTGCTGCGATGCACTGGTGAGGCACCAGCTCCCTGCCGGCGTCCCAGCTCCATCACTGGGGCAAGCTCCCACACCACCCTGCAGATCTGCTTTCCGCAGAAAAACCCGGCTTTGCCATCCCAGAAGGATGCACAGAGAGGAGGAAACCAGATTTTTAAAAGTGCTCAGCTAAAAAAAAATAAAAAGAACGCAGCATTTATTGATTTTGGAGTTTTTGGTTTTTTCTGTGGATTTTTTCAGTGGCACTCAGTGCAAGGTGCACTTACTGCTAGGCTGTGGGAGCTCATTGCCAGAACAACCAGGCTGGATGGCACACCCCAACGGGGTCAGCCCTGGCTGCAGGAGGGGACCATGGTGGCAGCCAGGATGTCACCGCTTGGCACGACGAACGTGAGCTGTCCCCTCTGCCCGCAGGGCTCACCCAGAGCCAGGCAGTGCTGGCAGCTGAGACACCCCGGCACAGGGAAGGGCTGTGGGAAGTTGTCAGCGATTCAGCAACAAACAGAATTTTTGTTTCTCTGCTCTCCATCTCACCCCCTGTACCTCTTCTGCTCCTCTGACTCCCTAGTCCTGATGCTGCGGACACATCCCCATCCTGGATCCCCCTTCCCAGCCTGGGGAGCATCACACCGGGTCACTGAAGGGCCGTATCCATGGGATGGAAACTAAAGGGCCACGTGCAACATGGCAAGGCTCTGAGCAGCCGTGCTGGGCACCCCACTGCCAAGGAACTGCAAAGTGGGGGGGTCTGTGTGCCCTCCTCCAAGGTTTCGGGGTTGGTGTGGGGTCCGGGTCCAGCATCAAAGCCCTGATGGGGATGGTACGGGGCAGGATCTGTCCCCCGAGCGACCTCCCCTCCCTGCACAGCAAAGCTCCCGCCTCCTTCCGCAATTACTGCCCAAACCAAGTGGGAATTATCCCAGGGAGCGGTGAGATGAGGGCTGCACATTAACATCTGCTTAACAAGCGCTGCTTCCTGGCTGCAGCCAGCCGGAGCGGCCACGCAAAGGAGCTGGCAGAGCTGGGGACCCCACGGCGCGACCACCCGTACGCCGTGCCTTTCTCCACCGTTGCCATTTCGGCCCCCGCAAAGCCCAGCAGGCAGCTGCCTGCTGCCAGCCCTGCCGCACGCTGCGGTGGCAGAGCTTTCCCTGCAGCGGGTGTGCGAGCGGGGAAGAGCGGCACGACGGATGCACCCGGTGGGGATGCACTCAGTGCCACTTTGCCGCATCGGTGCCTCGCTGGAGGCAGGAGGGGACGGTCGTATGTGTGTCCCCCCCGCCGCCATCTCCATCCTGCTGCCTCCATCACGCTGCCTGGGGCAGGCGGGGGCGGCCGGGAGAGTGAGATGTAACAGGGAGGAGAGAGGGAGAATGGGAAAGGGGGAAAGGAAAGGAAGGTCTAGGGGGGGAATATTCACCGTGGGGAGAAAAGGTGGTCCACGGGGGCTGAGGGGACAACTGGAACACAGAGCCACTTGACTTGAGAGTCTTGTGCTGATGCGGGATTAAAAGCCAAGGCAAGCAAGAGAATGAAAGCACAAGCATATGTACTGCTCCTGGTTTGCAACAGGGAGGGTCCCGGGGGATGTCATCCACAGCCCTCTGTCCCCACCTGGGGTCCCTGGCATCTGCCTACAGCACGCTGCTTAATGAGGGCATCTGATTTACTATCCAGGAGTCTCCCAGGGTTAATTAAGAGCCTGCTGGGCTCCTATTGGCCATTGCTCCCTATAACATACGTTATTTCACTGCTGCAATTAAATACTCAGTTGCAATTAACATCGGAGGCAGTGCTTAAGCCGGAGAGCATCGCAGAGCAACAGCCGGTGAGA